TTAGATATGGCTAAAAGCCTAAACACTTATGTTAAGACTTCAGCTTTTATGGAATCACAGAAGTTTTTCTCTCTCCTTTCGGACTTAGACACAGAAGGTACTAAATGCCACATGGGAAGAGCCAAGCCCACAGGGAATCAAAAGAAAGACTCCTCCTATCAAAGCAAGGGCTCAGCACTGCGTTCCAGCAATTCCATGAGTAAGTTTTCCACCCAAGTGTTGCTACTGCCCATTTTAAGAGATGTGAAACCAAACCAACCTGCCCTCTATATGATGGTGTAACATCAAAGATTCAAAATGAGCTCAGTAAGCATTATATATATTTATTACCTACTTATATCATGCCAGCTGAGGACAGACAAGCTTAAAGCAATGATTCCTAGAGTAATCCAAGAGCATCTTTTAAATTCAGCTCTATGATACACAACCTAGCATTCCTCAGGATAATAATACTGCAGTTTGGCACCAGTAGTCATCCCAAGTAGTTCCTACTAGATTCATAGATGATGAGAAAAATCTCTCTAGTCATGAGTTTTTCTTGTGTTATCCCTTGTACCTGAATCTCAGTATTCTGTCTGCTAGATCTTATACTAAGAGCAACTATTTCAGCATGAAAAAAGACACGTCTATTTTCTATAAACTGCACTCCAAAATACCTGATCATTCTGTACGGTCTCACTTAGCGTCTTTCCATTGGTTTGCAATAATAACCTGGTTCTTCTTATTTCATCCTATACTTGAGAAAAAAACAAACCAATGAGAAAAAAATAACTCACATTTCAATATTCTACAGTGCAATGTATCAGTTATAAGACAGGTGAAATGCAAACCCAGAATGTCAAGCTAATACACCTATCCTTCACCAAAGCAGTTAAAGCAAGAACACACCTCAACATACAACTAATTCACAGTCATAAAAACTTTTACATTATTCAGGCTCCCTTGCTCCCTTTAAGTATCAATCCTTTAACGCATTACATAAATGCACCTGAACTTTAAACATATGAAAAACCTCACTGAAATCAAGAACGTTATTCTTGTACGTAAAGTTATCTATGTGTACTGGCCAATTCAGAGATTTGCCACCAAAGCAACCATCCGATATCCCCACAGGCACCGAGATGACTATTTTAAAATGAAATTCCAAACCAGACTTTTAAAATGACCAGAAATGAGTCACAACATCACTAGATGTTCCTGCATGTTCACAAATGGGTGATCAAGTTTTGCATCTTACAGTCTTCCTTTAAACTTGGCTTAAGCTTTTAATTACAGAAAACAGGTACACTTAAACAAAGAGAATAAAACTGTAACCTCATGTGCTTACTCATAGTCTACATAAAAAGCTGCCCCTCTTAGGAGAATTTATGAGATGATTTGACTTTTCTTCAATAGGCACATCTCTATTTGCAGTGTATTTTAATTCAAGGAAGTGTGAACTAATCCCAGATCTCCAAGTCCCTGAATGTACTATAAAATTTTCCTGTTAGTGTTTACATATATATAATGTACGTTTACTAAATTATATTATTTGTACATGTAAATATATAGAGAAGTATGTATTCATACCATGTATACACATATATAGAGACAGATGAATAGATACACACAACACACTAACTCCGCAAGCAACAAGGAAATGTACACACATTTTGACCATGTTCTTTTGCTTTAATGGAGCTTTCCCTTAAAAAAAATACATTAAAAAATCAATCAACAAAAATCCCTTTAACATACTGACCAACCAGCTGACTCTCATACAATGTGCCGTGCTTTTTCCTCTGTCACCCCTGACAAAACTATACAGAAGTGGACTGACAGAAAAGCACATCTTCCCTAGAACTTTGCTGTCATGACAGCTCCCGAAATTTATAAGCTACACTTTATGACTGACAATGTGTTTAGTGTCACACTTTCAATAATTAATGTTAAAATTGTGATAATCATTCTCTGGTATAAAAAGGCCCTACAAATCGGCATGCTCCCTCTTAGGGGAGGATTCCTTTCAGTATAACCACTCAGAGGAGGATCAAAGAGCTTCACGACAGAGGGAGGGCCACAAAAATGACCCGAGGGATGGAGCACCTCTGCTATGAGGAAAGGCTGAGAGAGTTGGGCTGTTCAGCCTGGAGAAGAGAAGGCTGCAGGGAGACCTTATTGCAGCCTTTCAATACTTAATGGGGGCCTACAGGAAAGATGGGGACAGTCTTTTTAGCAAGGCCTGCTGCGACAGGACAAGGGGTAACGGTTTTAAACTGAAGGAGGGTAGATTTAGACTGAACACAAGGAAAAAATGTTTCATGATGAGGGTGGTGAAAGACTGGAACGGGTTGCCCAGAGAGGTGGTAGATGCCCCATCCCTGGAAACATTCAAGGCCAGGTTGGACGGGGCTCTGAGCAACCTGATCTGGTTGTGGATGTCCCTGCCCATTGCAGGGGGGTTGGACTGGATGGCCTTTAAAGGTCCCTTCCATCCCAAACCATTCTGTGATTCTATGACCTTCAGATTAAGCTACACCACAAGGATGGGTACATGGATTAGCCAGCAGAGATTCTGGGTGCCTGTGGTGCAGTTCAGCAAACCTGTCCTCTCCGAAGCCGCGACAGCTCCCCATCACGAGTCCTCCACAGCTGACTGTGTTCAAGAACAGCCTGCCCAGCTTCGTCTCTCTTGTCTTTGGGGGTTTCCTGATTCCTGACTGGGCTGATTCAACGGCTGGCACAGCAGCCACGGTCTAAACAGGATTGCTGAAATGGCAGCGCCTAGAAATGCCCTTAAGTTTTATGTAATTATATAGAGAAACGCATACACTTATGTTTGTATTTCTTATATATTTATATGTACGTATTTTAATTTTCCTCAGAAACCTTGCAATGGTATTATTTCACACCCTAGCAAAGCCAAAGTTGGTAAGGTGGGTTGCTGTTACCAGCGAGGCTGTGGAGCAGGAGCCAGGGAGGCCCCCCCATCCCGCGGCCCGGGCCCCGCACCCCCGTCCC